GGAGAGGTCGGTCATCTTGCCAGAGCATAACATGTCCAAGGTATCACAGAGAGCCTCCCAAGACAAGCCACCTTTGATAATCCACGTGGGCACAAATGATACTGTCAGGGAAATCTAAAAGTATTGCCAAAACTAAGGAAGTCTTGGGCAAGAAAATGAAGACCAGAGTGGTTTAGGTTGTGTTCCCCTCACTGCTGCCCCGCAAAGGTAAGAAATGTAGGGGAGAAATAATGATTTGGGGAGTGAATAGCTTGCTAAGAAGGTAGTGTCTTGGACTCCTGAACTATGGATGAAAATGTAGGAATGACATAGTCTGGGCCAGAGATGAAGCATGCTTAAGAAAGACAGGTAATAATGAATTTGCTTCCTGTCTTGAAAATCTAAACAAAAGAGCTTTTCAGTAAAGAAGGATGGAAGAGGGGGAAAAAAACTGCTTTATAATCCACCAAGCTGGATAACATAGAGAGTGAGAGCAACAAAGAAAGAGATTGAGATATCCATGAGCTCATGAGATAAAATCCTGAAAAACAGAGCATTGTAACACCTCTGGATTCAAAGGTCTACAAGCAAACACCAAATGTTTATGCAACAAGCGACAGGAATTAAAGGTCCTAGTTAGCACAAAAGAGGCAAACGAGACCTCACGTGTATCCTTGAGACTGGGTAGGATGGCAGCCATGACTGGAATATGGCTCTATTCCAAAGAGACAGGACAGGTCAAAGTAAAGGTGGGGTATAACTGTACGTTAAGAAGGAATTCTTATAGCTTCTTTCTTATACCCAAGGAGATGCAAGAACCCAGGATGAAAACATGATGGAAAGCTTTTGGATGAACGCCAAGAGAGAGGGAAACTGAAGTGATTTTGTGAGCTACAGACCACTGGGGCAGAAAGAGGGAACGGATGAGGACTATGAGAAACAAGAGACAAGAAGCCTGAGTTAGAGGTGGGATAGAAGAGTGATGGGGAAAAATTATTCAGACATCTGCCGGAATACATTCTCTCTGTGAGAAGCGGAAGAGCTATTAACTTCTCGATTTGCCTTAATGATAATTTAATTCTTCAAAGGGTGCAACAAGTAACAAGGGGGAAACTATATATGGAGTCGATCCTCAGGATCAGGGAAGTCTGGGTTGCTATGATGGAAATGTTGGGAAGCCTAGGGAGAAGTGACCACTCCCTCCTAGAATCTAGGATAGAGAAGGAAAGGAAATCTGGGCATAGTTAGACACACACCCCAGCTTTAGGGAAAATAGACTTCAAGGGGTTCAGAGGAAGGATAGGCAGGGTGTCATGGAATAAGGTTCTGAGGAAGAAGTCAGCCCAGGAGGGATGGGAGATGCTTAAGAAGGGAAACAATCCCAGTGAGGAGAAAGAATGGGAGTTCTCTGAAGAGACTGTCATGGAAGCACTGGAAACCCACCAACCCAGAGATATAAAAGCTATGTAAAGAATATGGAAGGAAGGATAGGTAACAAAGGATAAATATAAAAGCATGGCATGGTCCTACACAAACAGTGTCAGGACGCCTAAATAAAGCTCAAGATGAGCTGAGGCTGGAGAGAGAGCTGAGGGTGGCAAAAAGGTTGGGTTTTTTATACTGGATTGGGAGAAAAAGGAGCAGCAGAGGAGAGGCAGAATCTCTGTTTGGGGTGGATGGAATGAGGAGAACTGACAAGAGGGAGAAGCTGGAGTGGCTCAGTCCTTTCCTTGCTTTTTTCTCTGCCAAGGAGCATGACCTCCTAGAAAGGACGGAATAGAGATGGCAGAGCTAAGCCCAAGATAAGTAAGGAGATGCTCTGGATGGATTTGAGCCACTTGCCCAAAGGGACTCTAGCCTCAGCTCCTCAAAGACCTGTTCACTGGCATTTCTGAACCATTATCAGTGGCACCAACCAATCAAAAAGCATTTAGCAAGCAGTTATTAGAGCTATGTGATTGGAGAAGTGCCAGTCTACCAACCTTGCCATTCTTTGTCTCCTCCATGCTTAGCACAATGCCTGGCACCCAATCAGAGCTTCAGAAATCAAACAGAGAGCATCCTGAAGGCATTTCGTGCACCTTAAAGCTCTATATAAATGTAGCTATTAACAAATATTTGTCGACTGACTGACCAAGAAAAGGTAGGGGGAGGTAGGGGAGGAGAACAGAATCCACAGTTATTGACTTCAATTGCTGGAGAAATTCTAGAATGGGTCACCAAAGAGACAGTCAGTGAGCATCTAGAAAAGGGAGCCACACAAAGAATGCGAAGAGCCATGTGATCTCATCCAGAAGTGGCCACCATGTCAGAGAAACCAGGGAAGACTTGTTTGAACTGATACAGACAGAAGTGAGCAGAACCAGAAGTTTGGTCAACAGCATGACCGACCGTAATTCCAGAAGACTCATTGCTCTCCCAGTGACAGAGGGCAGTGGGCTCAAAATGAAGAATTTTGAGGGTGTGGCCAACGCGGGAATTCGCTTTGCTTGTCTCCGCATATTTGTCATAAAGGGTTTTGTTTTTCTTTCTTTTTCAAGGTGGGGGTGGGTGGGAAGGAGATAAGGTGGGTTTTCATTAATTGAAAAAAATAAAATTAGTTTTAAGAAAGAATTTTTTAAAAAGGAACAGGTCGTTCCAGACTAACCTTGTTTCCTTTTTTGGAAGGAGTTATTGGACTCTTAGATCAGGGGAAATTAGTTATTCTTTATCAAACCTTTGAGGAAAATGTCTCAAGCTATTCTTGTGGAAAAGAAGTGAATGAGAAGATAATATAATTAGATGGACTTGGTACTAGTTGACTGATAGGGCTTAAAGAGGAGTCATTAGTGGATGATTATGGACTTGGCTGGTCTCTAGGGAGGTGCCCCAGGGATCTATTTGGCCCTGTGCTGTTTAACTTTTTAATCACTGACTGAGATATAGGCATCCGATAGTACATGCTTCCACTCTGCCAATGACAAAGCTAACACACTACATGATAGAATCAGGCTATTCAGCCCAAATCTAGTAAGATAAAATTCAATAAGGATAAATGCATTTAAAAATCAACTTCACAAACACAGGAATGGGGGGAGGCATGTTTGAAATAGAATGTCTCTGAAAATGACATGAAAATGAATGTACTTGGGTCTGGATACCGTCATTTAAAGAATGAGGCTCACAGCTACAGATTAGCCTGAGGTGGGCACCCTGGATGGCAAGGGGCCTGGATTTCAGGTTATATGAGGATCAGTTAGAAGAAGTGGGCGTGCTTAGTATGGAGAAGAAAAGACTGGGGGTGGGGGATATGAGAGCTGTTTTCAAGTGTCTGAAGAGAAATTGTCTGCAGAAGGGATGAGCCACATCTGTTTGACCGCAGAAGGCTGAACCAGGAACAAGGCGAGGGGCGGAATAGAAAGGCAGATTTAGTCCAGGTCCACACAGATTTTCTTGACCCCAAGCCCAGGGGTCCATCTGCTGATCATTCTGTTAAGCAGCTGAGCATCATGTCTTTATATCGTTCTACTAGTCAGAGTGCTCAGTGGTTAGAGCATAGTGTTAACAAGGCCAAGGTCATGAGCTCCACGCCTATCTGAGGCCACCAATACCTGGCTGCCCTCTGTGAGCTCCATTCATCAGATCCACACAGGCTACATCCTCTAGTTTAGAATGAGACAGTGCTGAGGACTGTCACTGACCTGTGAAAGATAATGATGGCAAATGGGAGGGGTGCCACAGGGCCCGGGGAGGAGTGATATTGGCCTGATTTTCAAGAAAGGCTAGAGAAGAGAGTCTCCAAACTAATGGTCAGTGGGCTGGATTCTTGGCAAAATCCTGGACTATGTTACGAATGGAACAGTTGAGGAGCAGCTTGAAAAGGAAGCTGGGGTCCCAAGGAACAGGTCAGGGTATCCTTGAGGGCCAGATGGAGAAATGGGGCCCCCAGTGGCTACAGTGCAGGCAGGTGGGCGAGGAGAGGGCCAAAGAACCAGACTCCCAGAGTGGTCACTAATGAGGTCTCAGAGAGATGCCTCTTGTAGCGCGACCCGGAGATCTTTCCTCAAACCTAGGATTTCCATTAGGAATCTGGATGAAGACATAGATGGTGTGCTTATCTATGTTTCAAGCACAAAACTGGGGGGCAGAGAGGGCTCAGGGATAGGCCAGAATGATGGGTTAAATCGAACAAGATAATGTGCAAGAGAGATCAATATAAAGTACTGTGTTTAGGTTCAAAAAATCAACTTCTCAAGCCCAAAATGAGTCAGAATGGCCAGATTAAGAGTCCCTATGAAAAAGACCTGAGGATCAGTGGATTTCAAGTTCAGTATGAGTGAACAGCATGAACACCTACCAAGAAAACGCATCATTTGGGGCCAGCTAGGATTGAGAATGAGAAAGCTATGATAGCCTCCTGCACTCTGCCCAGGTCAGACCACACATGGCCTCTGTGCTCAGTTCTGGGCGCTACACCCTTAGGAAGGACATTGGGAATCTGGAGGTGATGCAGAGAAGGGCAGTTAGACCGATGAAGGTCTCGAAGCCATCCTGCAGGAGATGGTTTGAAAGAACTGGGGGTGGTTAGTCTGGGAAAGAGAAAGCTGAGTGGCACATGACGGCTGTCTCCAAGTGTCTGCGGAAGAAGAGAACGTGTGGAAGTCTATGTGATGAAGAAGAATTAGCCTCGTTCTCCTTGGCCTCAGAAAGCAGAAGCTGCAATGAGGAGGATTTCAGCTGAGGAGGGATTTCCTAACAGACGAGTGGAGCAGGCTGCCTTAAGGGGCGCCCCCCCCCCAGGGTCTTCAAGTAGAGGCCCCGTGAGCCCTCGTTGGGAGAGTGACGGCTGAAAGCTCTGGTCAGACACGGGAACAGACAGTTTCTGAAGTCCTTGCCAGCTCTGAGTGTGTGGACTCTAAATGGCTCAGGGTAGACCCACCCCACTGGTGGAGACACAACTCCTACTGATGGTGGGTCAGAAGCGCCATCTTCACGTAGGAAGGACAGGCCGTCACCAATCTGAGCAGCTGAAACCAACCTACATCAAAGGGAGTGAATGCTGCTCTGAGGGCAGAGGCAGGGGGTCCTCTTGGGATTTCTCAAGGAAGCCAGGATTTAAATTGGTTCTGGAAACAAATGAAAAAACCAGAGAGCTATTGTGGGCAGGCCTGAAGGGAGAGGTTCCCCCATCATCACGTCAGCGCTTTGGGCTTGGCTTAGCTGAGTGCAGTCCCCAGGGTCCCCTCCCTGCTCGGACCAAGGTCACCAATCGGGGTTACGAGTCACGTCTCCCCAGTCTGGCCGGGACGGGTCCCACTCAGGAAATTCTTGTGCCTTGTCTCCTTCACCAGCTTACCTTCCACCTTCTGGGCAAGCCCGGCCCTCTCCCCCAATTCTACTCTCAGCCGGAAAACTACTCAATTTATATGAGAACTTCCTAACAACTGGGAGCTGTCCAACACCGGAACAGGCTGCCCCGCCCCGCCCCCCAAGGTAGTGAGCTCTTCATAACTGGAGTATTCAAGCAGACCACGATCGTAGAGAAGTTTCCAATACCGTGTGAACGGATCTTCCCACTCTTTCAGGTCTTTTTAAAATCTAGGCTCTCATTTGGCTCAGGGGTGGGAGGAGCAGGTGGGCAGAGAGCTGGGGTTCAAAGG